ATGGTTCATCGTGCAAAACATTATCATTATTGATGTTTTTGCATGGTCCAGCCGGTTTGAAACCGCTATATACGTGCAGATGGCCACCGTTCTTTTGCCCGTTCGACGCATGTGTGAGAAAGACGCCCAACATACCTGGCCGCGTCCAGCTCTGCCGATGTATCCCCAAAAAGATGTACAAGAAGGTGAAGTAAGTTGGTTTTGGTATTCAGACACTATCATTACGAGAAGAGAAACTCCTTGAGTACTGGCGACCCAGAAAACTCGGGATTTAACATTATACAACTATGAATCGTTAGCAACCATCAGAAAGGCATCTACTGCACATGCATTTGCAGACGCACTTGAGAAAATATTGTAGCCCTGCCCTCCTCTTGTCGAGGAAACGGGGCCGGAATTTGGATATCACACTCTTGGGTGGTAGAGGTGGTACTGCTGCTTCAAAATTGGGGAACGTCTTGACCAACTTTTCGCGAAGGTCGTCGAACTCGGAATATCGCTTTCGGATGTTCATATAGCTTCCCTGCACGCGTCTTGTCAGCGACTGCGCTCGTGATCTCGAATTGTGCCCTTTGGGCCTTTATTCTTCGAACTAGGGATATCACTGACTTGCAATGTCTCGACTCTTATGTTCCAAACAACAAACGCCCCAATGTTGGTTGCGCTGCCGTTCACCACGACGTAGTCGGTAATCTCGACGCTCTTTGCCCAGCAGGCTCGATTTCGACCATTGACATCGCTCGCTTCGTTATCGTGCATTGTGATCGCGCCGGCGGGTAGTACTGATTCGACCGAGATATTGGAAACCGAGCGCTGGTGATGGCCGAGCCAATACGGTGGCGACGTCACTGACGATGGACTTGTCACGGACGACTCGGTTGGCGACTCTGTCTCTTCCTCTTCATCCTCCTCGTCTCCAAACAATCCGCCTCGTGTGTCATTGTTGTTCTGACGCGAAAGTAACCCTCGAATGGCTCCGTCCGTAGCGACCTTGTGTGAAGGTCTAATATGGCCATTTGTGCCGCCGTTGAGTCCGCCGTTCGGTCGGAACTGGGATTCTATCGCCGAGTCCATGAATCCATGTGTGAGGATGGTACCTCATGGACAGCCGTGATGTTATGTTGTGTTGAAGATGGGATTTGCTCGAGGGCAGCGAAAGCGCAATGTGATTGTGACGTATTGGCCGTATGACGATATCAAGAGTCTTAGGTAGGTAGCTTGACGAAAGACCTGTCTCGGGGCGCTTGCTGGACGCCGTTCTCTTAGGGTGGTGCCGCGTGGCTGTGCAGATCGACCAAGAGTGGAATGGCGGCCACTTTGGCTAGCAGGCGGGCAGAAGATGGAATGTTGACTGTGTGGTTTGTTGCCGGTGATGCTACCTTGGGGCGGCAATTAGTCGGCCCGTGAGATGTAACGGGTCTGCGAATGACATCTGAGGGGTGAGTTTGGCAAAGAAGCGCACAGTAAGGAGCAAACAATGCGCTAGTTAGCACAGCTTCGTCGCTAGAAGAAATCGATTCGATCCCAGGACGGTTGAGAGTGCTCTTTAGACGAGACAGAGTGATTGTTTACCAAATAATTGCCTACCTCAGCTTCCCGGGTGAGATCCATGCGGATAAAGCATGACGATAAGAAAAGCTCCTACCACCAACCTTACCTTAGTATTCGTACCTACCTCCCTGCGGCTCGTTCTTCCCCTCGCTTCTGCTGGTTCGTGCAAGAAAGGAAGGACCCCTCTGAGACAGTGACTTCTGTTTGGCTGATGAACAATGGTAGCTTCCTTCCCTAAATCTTCCCAGGGAAATCGGGAACAGAGGAAGGTCCGGATACAACGAAACTCGAATGGTAATAAAGTGTCACTGCCATTAGATGAGAATTGACCACATCATTCGTACCACTATCCGCATTGTTTCTTCGCCAACCCTGGGCAAAGTACGAGACGATTGCAAAACTGTCATCCTCTACGCGGGAGACTGCTGCACCTTGCACAGCTGTTTTGCAACTTCTTGAAAGCTCATACATCCTACACGTTCTTGATGTTTGCCCCCCCCCCCCCCCCACACCGACGACTGACTCTCGGACTTTGACAACATTTGCCCAAGGATCTTAACAAGGTCATGTTGATATCTTATAAGCTACCACGCCAGAAAGAAGACCGGCTGCGGCGCTTAGGACGAGATCTACGTGTACACAGTATCGGGCACAGAAGACATTGGTCATGATCCTGTCTGGTGCGACAATAATAGGCCCTTCCCGCGCTATCAATACGTACACTACGGTTACGCGCAGCACACTCCCGAATCCCAACACATCGGTGCGGATACGAAGCAGGTGGCAGCAGAAACCAAGCCGCGGTGGAGTTGGAGGGTTGACACCCACGACACCTTCTCGACTAGCGCATCTTGTCGAGCAGGGGGTTAAGTCTTCGGCTTCCATTTCGATTCTACGTCGTCTACCCCAGTACGTCCCTGTTGGCAGCTGGTAGGCTTCTCGGTACTTGCAAAGTGCATTATAACGACATCACGGTCAGACCCAAGACCTCTGGTTTTGAAAACCCAACTCGACGTACAAGTAACATCCGCAAAGGCTCGTAACCGCCAAAGCCCTGCCAAGTTGACAGGTTCAGTTGTGGCGGTCATTTTGCCATTCTTGACATCTATCATGGGCAGCCCAATGGCAACTCAAACTTCGAAGGGCAAATTTTGCCGTCAACGGTGTGGTGTCAGCGCTCTTCTACGACCTGTCTACAAATAACAGAGGGAGGCATCGATGCGGAGACGTTGGGGGGCTTGGGATCGTCGCCCCGGAGGAAGGGGTCTCGGAGGCAACAGACAAGATCCGGGCGGAGCCAACCACCTCAATATGCAAGTTGAACCTCTGGAGTCAGCGAGTCATTGCCAGCCCTCCCGATCTCACTGTTTCGTGGACAAAGATGAACTTTCAAACAGTCGACGTCCACCGAGCTGCTCTAGACGGCACAATCATACATACTAGCTGCATCGGTTGTCCTGCACAGCGGCCTTGGTTGGGGACAAGACTGCAGAATACGAGTGGCGATCAGCCAGTGGGACGCCGGGAACAGCGATAGCTGTGCTTCTTACGGATACTCCCTACACATCATGGAACTCAGCAAGCGGTGTCAAGACCCGCACGAAAGAAAGAAAAAGAATGCTGGCGGTTGGGAGAAACCCACAGACTCACCCAGACGCTTCCCGTCAGGCCGATAGGCAACACTTTTTTACTCCTGAGTCTTGTCTCGCTACGCAGAAAGTGCATGTTGCAGATGGTGGCCTCCTAAAGTTGTGCTAACAGGGAGCCAAGGGGAGGATTAAGAGGGGCTGGCTCTGTTTGGCGGCGAAGTTTACTGCACAACAAGGTGGTCTTGGCTCCATAACTTTCACGCCGCATTTTATGGAGAGCGTCGAGACAGTTCCAGTGTTTTGCAACCTCGTAATCAACAATGGGTCTGGTCATCCGACCTGCAAAGTCGCACTCAAGTGGGAATTCGACTGGTTCGTTCTCGAATACGGAGGGATACGGTCTCGAGTCTCGATTCTCGATTACTCCGTGTGTCCGTATCTACGAATTGGCGCCACAGCTTCGAAGGAATAGCCGACAGGCAGAATAGACACGGGTTTGTCGTCGTCGTCAGTGTGTCTGTCATATCGTGGGGATACGAACGAACACAGGAATGTCTAGCTGACGCCGCTGACTGGATGAAATGTCTACCTAAGCATGGGCAGCTTCCACAAGGCCAGCAGAGGTCGGGGCTGGAATTGAGCCGGGCAAGCCTCAGAGGAGGATTGCCGTGGGATCAGCAAAGATATGGCGAATGGCGAAGGACGGACAGGCCGGGCCTTCCAATCTCAAACGGGTCCGGGGCTGCAAATTAACGAGCCAAAAGTCGATAGAAGCCGTCACCGCAACCTCGGCAATGCTGCAAAGGCCTGCCTCTTGACACCTTGACTATTCTCTGCCATGTCTGCTGACTCTTAAGACCGGCATTTGAGGATATGCTGCGGGTACAGAGGCACAGAGAATACAGAGTATCGGATGGAATAATCAGATCGCTCGTTTCTTGCGGCAACGACGAGAGAAGGGCTCTGGAGTTTGAAGTCTGTATGGGTTTTCAGTGGGCTCGCGCGGTGCAAAGTTGCAGTTTGTGGAGAGGAGATTCATCTCCGGGCAACAATGGACACCCGATCTCGTTAGCGGCACAAGTAAGGAGACGCTAACAATCGTTTTAGTGCCATCGGTGCTGCAGACAAAGTGCAGACTGCAGAGTTGCAGCGCCGGCGACGCAAAAAGCCAATTGCCCCAGGCCATGGAATGAATCCATGGATCCCTGCAGAGAGCGGCATGCTCCCACTGAACCCTTCCTCTGCTAAGCCTCAATATCCACCGAATAGAAACACAAGACCAAGACAGACCACGGGAGAGAGAGCCGCTACGAGAGTCACCCTCGAAGAAGCATTCACACACCAACCCGACCTTGCCATGGCCTGCCAATCCTGTTTTGCCCAATATCAAGAGTCTACGGAGTGCAGATAGAGGGCTTCTCTGACTTGCCTAATTTTGAGGAAGAGGCACCCTAGGGCTCCAGAGACACAACCACAAACAACCATGCCTCCCTACCATTCAAGCGGGTCAATGGCAAAGGGCGGCAAGAGACAGGCATGCCAGACAGGTTGCGGGCCACAGCTCAGGCTGGGTTCCCCTCACGTTATCAATATCCGCCCATCAGCAACCTGTGATTTTCGGTCAGACAAAAGTGGCGACTCTTCGTTCTGGAGATGGTGGCCTGTGGAGAGGCGCGCTGCCCTCGACGTCGAACGCCTCGTACCATAGTGTACAGATGCATTACAGGTGCATGGTGGGAAAAGACATTGAGAGGTGAGAGAAAGTAAAAAAGTCAATGATTCTCCATCCGATCCCCAAGAGCAGGGGACGGGTTCATCCTGTGATTGGGCATCAGGGGGGTGGGGGGTGATGGGATGCCGATGAACAGACCCCAAACAAACCCTGGCCAATTCTTAGCTCCTTTTCTCGACCCTGGGATCTTTTCTCGAGAAACGGTATCTGTACATACGTACGGAGTACGGAGCACCACACCATCACCAGCAGGAAATACGCCGGGTGGCTGGCGTGGAGAACGTGCTAAACCCAATTCTGCCTGTTTTTCTCCTCGGTCCTCTTCGACAGTCAATCGGCTCCTCTCTATAGACTCCCATGCAAATGCCTGCCTGTGGATTATCGCAAGAGAGGTCCCATGGTGTTGTACCTGGGACCCCGGGCCTCCTTTATTTTGTGCCGTACGGAATACCACGGATACTTCAATGTGGATTTGCGAATAGAAGCTTCCCGACAAGGCCCTGGTCCGAACGAGCAGACTACCACCTCGAATATGTGCTAGTCAACCTTAGTGCCCGCTTGGCAAAAGTCGTGCGTCCGGCTTGTCTGCTGCTTCTCACCTTCCTCCCCACGGCTCTGTGCCCCGGGGCTTTTTTGAATATGAACCGTCAACTTCTCTGACGATTCCCATTCCGCTTCTCTTCTCCTCTCTCCTCTCCCTTTTCCACCCTTCACCTCCCTCCTGAATCCCTCCGCGTGTGTGTATATCGTCTTGTCTCGGTCTGTCGTTACACAGTTGAAGAACGTGTCTGCACATATATTTCACCCGAACCTCTTCATCCTCTCCCCCCCAGACTCTTCACATCTCAGTCGCTCCAGCATCGCCAGTTGCCAACATTATACACGGCACAAAACAAACCGATTTTCCAGCCTCACTATCGCTACTAGTACCTTCTCGGCCAGACCAGTCCACTTTCGTCAGCAACGAAAGGGCTCCATTTTATTATTAGTGCGTAAGTCAAAACCGCCCATTCCTCAACGCCTCGTTCATAGCTCTGGCCTCCTTGGCCCGCCTGCCCGCCCTAATCACCCTAAATTGGGCCAAAAAGCCATGTGTTGTTGGCCCGAATAGGCGTTGGACATATCACCCCCTCCAGACCTTGGCCTGGCTTGGGGAGACTTTAGGAATGCAGCAAAAGGACCGCATAGGGACGAAAAGATGATGTCTATAAACATACACAAGGCGGGTTGCTGACCAGGAAACGCACTACAGTCGATATTAATATTTGAATCTTGTCAACTTTTCTTGAGAATCTTTCTCCCCTTCAACGACAACAACAACAACTTGCCCGTACATATACCCAAAAGGAATCCTTTTCGACACCGGTTCAGCATATACACATCCCCACAAATCACAATGCCTTCGTTCAAGAGCACCGTCTTCGCCGTTGCCGCGGCCTTTGTCGCCACGGCCCAGGCTGATTACTACGTCGAGCCCTCATCCGTTCCTCTGGCCACAAGAAGTACGAATTTGTTCCTCCTCTGTCCCCTCCGGGAACACTTACCCGGTGGTTGGTGATTTGGCCAGTATGCTAACAGGAAACCTGCAGAGGCTTGGTGCGCCGACGAGAAGAACACATGCCCCATCATCTGCCAGCAGGTCGAGCCCCGGACGACCCTGGTGAACGACTGCGACCCTGTAAGTAGCCAACGCTGTCAGCAGCAAAAACGTGGAGGAGCCAAGCTGACAGACATCTTTTCCCATCACACAGGAAACCCTCACCTACGGCTGCATCTGCGGCGACAAGAACCAGCCCAACATGACCGAGTACTCCCTCACCCTCCCCTACCACGTCTGCCAGGAGTTCGGCAACCAGTGCGTCAAGGCCTGCGGCCTCGGCGCCAACCAGTGCGCGTCAAACTGCCGCCAGAACAACCCCTGCGGCGCCCAGAACCCTACCCGCCAGAACTCGACCTCCACCGCCGGCACGGCCACCGCCTCTGCGACGGCCTCCGAGACGAGCGGCGCCATCTACACCGGCCTCGGCGACTCCGGCTCCTCTTCCTCCGGCTCGTCGTCCGGCAGCGGCGCCGCGGCTCTGGAAATGGGTCGCAGCGCTGGCCTGGCTGTCCTCGTCGGTAGCTTGATCGGCGGCGCTGCTCTCCTGCTCTAAGTCAGCACGCTACCGAACTGCGGTGGGGGATGAAAGAAAACAAAGAAGAGAAAAGAGATGGAAGCAGGAAGAATGGTGGAGGAAGAAACGTCGTTTATTGCCGTGTGTTCTGTCACGTCCGCTCTTTTGAATACCCTCTTGCACAAAGTTTTTATCACATGCTCGGCGTTTATGGGCGAGGTGTTTTGAATCATGGGCCTCTGGATCAACCAAACAAATAATGTCTTTTTAATACTTTCGGACAGAACACACACAAGCAATGGAGCGGGGATGATCTAGAGGTTGGGCAAATCTATCTTGAACGTTGTGCGTCATCTTTCGCGGGGGGCAGAGCAGTAGCAGAAGAAAGATTGAAAGAAAAAAGAATGGAATAAGAAGCGCAGTTGAGCTTCATGAACCTGAAAGCAGGCCCCCTCGTGCGTCTTGATATCTTGACTGTCATCCCAACATCCTTACTAGCTAGTGTTGCCTGGCGTCTCCGGTGTATCGGTGAACCGCCGATGGATACATCCGGTCTTATCTGATGGCTGAGCACGAGACCATCCGTCCCGTTCATCCCGTCTAAGGATCGTTCCCGTGATGTAGATTGTCCTAGATTGCAAGTAACATCAGATTAGCCTGCATAGACTACCATCGCTAGCAAGAGGCTCGGGATGGAGAACTGCGATGTGCGAGAGCCGTCATGAAGGCAACGTCGGAATATGCTGGCGTAACTGCATCGCGGGCACCAATGAGAGCCAGACAAACTTCAACACACACGTTCCGAAGACCTATGAGCGGGCAGGTGGGATTATCGACAAGCCAGACAAGTCAAATAGGTGACCAGTAAGGCGCCGTCCAGGACTCCAGCCGGCCTGTGCCACATGCAAGTCTGATGCCGCCATACATATCGGAGCGGGGGTCACGGGGACCAGCATTCGGTAAGGTCAGCGCGAGCCAGGCCGGCCCCGATCTCGACGGCTTCGATCTGGGGCTGAGCTACGGTGTGCCTAAGGCTGGTCGAGGGGAAGACGAGGCAGGGTTGCTCGCATGTCATCGTGCAGGAGTGTCGACCAGGCTTTTGCACAACTACGTAGCAAACCAACTGCCCAGTGAGATTCTTTGGGGGCCGACAACCAGACGATCTGGCACCAAACTCAGTGAACATCGGCCGGTGCAAGCTCATGTCCTGGCGGGAAAGACTTATGTGGAGGCAGGCAGGCGGGCTCGGTGTGTTAGTGAGCAGGGCCCGGTGCTACCTCGCCGATGTGCACCGTAACACTTGCTGGGGCAGCTCCAGAATCCAGAGTCCAGACGGAACGAAGGTTGGCTCTCACATGCTAATTGCCGGTCAATGCGCGTATGATGTAGAGACTAAGGTAGGTAGAGTGGGTAGCATCGAGTCCTTGGGTTCCAAAGTCCAGCGGTGGAACAGTCAAGTCTGCATCGGTTCGAGATTTGGAGGCGGATTTAGGGCCGTCGGAGGAGCCCCCGGATGGTGAAATCAATGATATCGATCCAATGGTGTGCAAGGAAGGCGCGGTAAAAAGGCGGTAAACGCGAGGAGAATCCCTGCGTGAGCCGGCGTTGATTGGATGTTTCTGTCTCGGGGCCTTGAGGAGCGAAGAAACGGGTGAGGAGCTTGGGGCGTTTGGGAGCTGGTGTGTTTTAATAGGGTCCCTTTTGAGATTTTTGTTGAACGCCGAGATGTGCGGGGCCGTATGAGCGTAAATCGGCCGCAGTGGTTCGGTCGTTCGCAGTCCGTCAGACCTCCGATTTGTGCGTGTCGAGGATCAGATGGACCCATGTGATTTCCTGCAGGGGAAATATTGCGAGAGGACGTGGATGTCTCGCAATTGGGTGTGCTATGGTTTCTGTTAATAATGTGGTTGTGGATTTGATGATGTAAGTGTCAAAGTGATGTAGTTGGCATTGAAAGCGGTGATGAATGATGATGTTAGAGGTGAAGTTGAATGCGTCTTGAGGTACGAGAATGAGGAGGGAAATCACGAGCTTCCTTTCCCGGTGGACTTCAACCTTGGTAGGTACGGAGTACTTGGGACTGGGACTGGGACTTGGGGTACGTATCCGCCGACGTGCTTCTTCTTGCTGCGGCGGTGGGCTGGAGCCGCTGGATTGACGCACGTCGACGGCCGCGTACCTACGGCAAACTGAGCCTCCCTTCTTCCGCCCCTCGCCCCGGCCGCCCCAGGCCTCTGGACAAAGTTGAGGTGCGTCTGATTTGTTCCCGAAAGAGAAGCTTGTGCCTGCGGTGCGTGCCATTTGCTGCTGGTCGCAACCGCAAATCCACTTCATCTGCCTGACCCCGGCCATTTTTTCACCCCTAATAAAAAAAAAGAATTAGAAAAAAGAGAGAGACAGACAGACAGACACCTAGACGGGAGCCAACGGCACGGCCTGCCTTATGATGCGAACTCAATAAGGTACTTCCTTACTTACCTTGCCTACTTACGCACCTTCGGTCCCAAGTCTGCACTGCACATCAACTTGCGGTGGAAGCCGAGCAATCCTCTTGTGCCTCCCGTCCTTTTACCTTTGGCCCTCTGCTTAATACCTCCTCCATCCCCTCCTTTCCCCACGGCCGTTGTTACATCCCACTCTCCTGCCTCTGGCACTCTTCCTCAACCTTCCCCCTCCATCTCCTTCCCCCGCCGCAGTCTGAGATTCTACATCGATTTTGTGTCTCTGACGCAATTCTTCACAGCCATGGGCGCCGCAACTTCAGACAGTAAGCACAAACCCTCTTCCCCCAAAGACAGACCTCGCCATGCGCCAGGGTACCTGGATGGCCTCGGCGTCACCTTCAAAGTGCGCGCATACAATTGAAGGCGAGAGAGCTTGTCTGGGAGCTATGGTGGAACCTCAAACGTGGACGACAGCTAACAATTCATCCTACAGGAACGGCTGCCGCCGAATGCATCTCGGACGATGCCCTCATCCACCTCAAGTCCTACAAATACTCGGCCGTCGACAAGTCGCCCATCTCCAACTACATCCTCCGACCCTACGTGCGTAGCCTCTCCGACCATCTTTTCCCCTCCTACCCGCCGCTGCCCCGCGCCGTCCGAGCAGCCTCGACTTCAGCATTTCTCCAACATATCGCTAACCAAGCCTCATAGTGGAATGCTGCCGTTGAGCTTCTGCCGCTATGGCTGGCACCAAACATGGTCACTCTGCTGGGCTTCTTCATGATCCTCGGAAACATTGGCCTCTTGGTCATTTTTATGCCTGACTTGGTTGGACCGGTAAGCCAAGCTCGTGTTCCCCGCCAAAGCCAGGCGTGCGCAGGTCTGGACAATTCGGCTAATGTACGTGTCGACAGGGCCCTTCATGGCTATACTACAGCTTCGCTTTCGGTCTCTTCATGTACCAGACGATGGACAACCTCGATGGCAAGCAGGCGCGACGCACCGGAACCTCGAGCGGACTCGGCGAGCTCTTCGACCACGGGATTGACTCCCTAAACTGCACTCTGGCCAGTCTTCTCGAGACTGCTGCCATGGGCCTCGGCACTTCCAAGTCTGGAGTTTTTACGGCCCTTGTCCCGTGCCTGCCCATGTTCTTCTCGACTTGGGAGACATACCACACCCACACTCTCTACCTGGGCAGGATCAACGGTCCAACCGAAGGTATTCTGATCGCCTGCAGCGTCATGGTTGTCTCTGGAATCTACGGCCCTGGCATCTGGACCGAGCCCATCATCAACATCCTTGGCGACAAGGCCGAACAGCATCTCTATGGCTTCCACTACCTGCTGGGAGACTACTCGATTCGGGACATCTGGATTGCCATGATCGTCTTCTCGCTCTTCGCAACCCACATCCCCTTCTGCGTTCTCCACGTTATTCAGGCCCGCCGCTCGCGCGGTGAGCCCGTAGCCCCTGTCTTCCTCGAGTGGACGCCCATGACAGTGTACACCCTTGCTATTGGCGCCTGGGTCTACTCGCCGTACTCGGCCATTCGTAGCGATAACCATCTTGTTCTCTTCTGCGTCACCATGGCCTTCGTATTCGGCCGCTTGACTACGAAGATGATTCTCGCTCACCTCACGAAGCAGCCTTTCCCTTACTGGACCGTCATGCTTGTGCCCCTTGTTGGTGGTGCTGCGCTTGCCAACCTTCCACGTCTGGGCCTTCCGGGCATCAGTGCCCAGACTGAGCTGTACTATCTGTACGGCTACTTCGTCTTCTCGGCCGTCGTCTACTTCCGCTGGGCATACCTGGTCATCACGAGTATTTGCAACTTCCTCGGCATCAACGCTCTGACTATTCCGAAGGAGAAGCAGCTCGCGAACAAGCAAGCTATTGCTGCCGCCAAGGCACCGCCTCTGACCAATGGTCTGATGAACGGCATGAAGAAGGATTAAGCCAGGGTTCTTTCAGCAGCTCAACTTTGCGGGTCGTTTAGCTGGTCAAAGGTTTTCACTACGACAATGAGCAAAGATGCCAGAGGTGAGAGGCGAGGGTTAGGGTCGATGTTGAGATGGAGTGAAATGACGGATTTCGAGTAAATGAATTACAGCAAGCCTGAATGCGGCTTTGATGGAAAGTCGCGCTTTTTTTGCATGGATGTCGGCGTTGCTGGAGGCTGATCCACTTTCAACATGGCATGCACTTATTACTGGCGCTTTTTGGGTGAGCAAAGCCATGGAAATCGGCTTGGCTCGATTGAGTTATAGGCACTTTTCTAGTACGAGGACTTAAGCAGTCCGTTGCATAATATCAATTTCAACTTCAACTTCAACTTCAATCTCGATTTCATCATTACGTATTGGTTGGCTCTTCAACGGGTCATGTCTAAAAGTGATTCTGAACATTCGAAACCTCCCTGTGATGTGTAACTCTAAGATGTGCATGTCTGAGACGACTCACAGCCGTATCTTGTGGTCAGGTAGATGTCGTGGGCGGATTATCACTGGTATGACCTTGACAGAAATTGTAGTCTCACGATTAAAAGTTAACTAAGACGACTTGGTCAAGGAAGCTAGGTCCAAGAAACAAAGAGTACTCTATTGGCCACAGCCCTGCCTGCTTAGGTACATTGAATCACACTACATGCAGCTCTAAAAGACTTGTTCTTTGTTACAAGGACTTGCCTTTTTCGGTTCGATCGATTGTGTGGACCTGCAGGGCGGATCACGGATCATGCTAATGCGAGACGTTTGGGAGATTGGCTCGAGAGACATGCTCTCGATAAGTGCAATCTTTCGAGTGCAAATCGGTGTAAATCAACAACGGCTCTCATAGCGTTCGCGCTTTTGTAGTAGTGCCGTATGAAACTGCGAATACGTCCGCCACAGCTTACGACGAACGATGAGGCCCGTTAATAGATGTCAATTCTTCTTTGTCATTATTGCTTTAGAGTGATCACGGGACTGCTAGAGTGAGTGAGACGGCAATAGGTCGCGATGGTTACGACCTTACCTTCACTACAGCCTGCCGGCTGCTTTTCACTGTTGAAGTCTAGTAGGCATTCGCTTTCACCGCAACAATGTGTCGATGCGGACATCTTTCCGGCACTTAGGATGCATTTAATAGTCTAGGGCATGAAGGAGGTGAATGTCTTCATGACTACTTCAAGCGAGCAACAACCCGGAATGGGCGGCTTCCCCCGAAAGCTCATTATCACATTGCTCAGGAAGTTCTGTCGTAGCTGCAAATTACCCTCACTATCTGGCACGACGAAGGCAGGTGTTAGTCCTGCTGACCTTGAGATGCAGGTGTGCGGAAGGCGTTAATGCCATTTTTTACCCCTGAGATTTCTTTGAAGCAAGATCGAACAAGCTCGAGAAAAGCCAGCAGAGAGACCACAACAAGTCACTGGGTATGGTCGCAATTCCGCAGTATGCTCGCTCTGTTCGGCCGTTGAATGCCAGTACCAGCTTGCAAATACCGCGATACTCTCCAATGCCTAATTATAGATCTCAAGTGATCCCGTGCACTCATTCTTTACATTCCTGTTGTTATCACTTTCCTATGCTTCCCAAGACATCTCAATGGTCAGTCAATTCACGATAGACTGCGTTGAACGCGATTTTCCAGAACACGAGAACTCAAAATACATGCCTCAATTAATGTATCATCAAACCGGTGAAACTCTTGTACATCTATGTCTACAACCTTGAAAGTAGTTTCCATTCTCTCAGTTGCGGAAATAATGCCAACACGTGACAAAGCGCATATGGTGAGTTGGACATTGTAGTTTCCGTTTTCACCAGCCTCACATTGCAGGTCAGTCCGCGTTCTGTACAGCTAGCTGCCACTTGTTCCCATGATCTCAAAGCCTCCTTACTCAACTTGAGCTGCCATGTCGCTATAACGGTAAGAAATGGCGAGCCTCTCCAAATGTGGTATCTCAGAATAAATCCCTCACGGGCGCCTGGGGCCCAAATTTCCATTTTCGTGAGTAAGGGCATGCGCAGAGCAGCCCTGCTTGCCTGAAGAAGCAGACGATCTAGAGCCGACGGGCTGGTTACTAGGTCTCCAATACATGTCGTTAGGGCTAAATTTGTAAGGGCTGGCCAGGCTCGAAGACTATCTGATAGCTCAGTGGTATTCTCCGGTATATCCCTTGACGAATGCCGGAAGAAGTCTGTAGCATCAACAGCGTGACATAGAGTAAGAAACCGGAGCCGATAGCTTGCGTTGACCGCTGAAGATACAAGGTCGTCATTGCGCATCCGAAGAAAACGAGGGCTTCCATTGAGTTTAGACTGCGCTTCCCAAACATGTACTGAACTTATGGTGGAAATTTTGGCCGCACGGTCGAGTAGCATGATCATTGCCTCATCGCGGGGGAATTATTCGTATTGAGCTATCGCGTGCCATGGCTCGTAGCTGACAGTCCTGAGACGGCAAAGACTACCAAGAACTTTCGCAAGCAATGCCTCCGACATACTTCTGTAGCAATATTGGTTTACGAAAAGCTTTCTGACGATGGGGACCTGAGCAAGCTTGAGAGTGCCGGAACTGGTGTTCAATAAGTTGCCGAGGAGACGCTGTTTCGACTTTGAGGAGTATATACGTCTGCGATCATGTTGACTCGCCTCGGCGCGATGGTCCCAGGGGTGGCCTGAATCACTCGGAGAGCTGGCGCTCAACCTTAATTTGACGCCACATTTCGGCGTAGACCATGTTGAAAGAGAGATGAATAACTTTCTTAGCGCTTGACTGAAGAGCTTGTTGTTCGTTCTGATCGTGTCTCGGGTCTCTGGTTCGTCGAACTTGTTCACGTTATCGTATTCGTCAAGGCTGACGTGGAGTGATATCTCCTTGACTAGATCTCTTCGATAACCGTGAACAAAAGAGCTTAGATTATCGATGTCGGAACCAGGATACCGAAGCCTCAGGCGTTGGAAAATCCGCGCTTCGAAGAAGGCTTGCCATTCCCTTGAGACGCTTGCCCAGTCCGACAAATCGTGTCCTTTATATCCGATTTCAACTTGCTCGAGGATCATCAGTCGAATCTCTGTAGGCAAGATTGCCCAGCGAAGGTGATTGTTGACATATTCAAACGAGTATGTGATTTTCGAACGAAGCTTCATTTTCTAGCTAGGTTGCTCAAAGTGAGGCTGGGTTGTTGAGTGCTGGGATGTTGAAATTGACAAGAGGGAGCCGACGGACAAGTTTTGTTGCTGTCAAGGGCCCAGAGAGAGCTGTTTGCGGCAGGGAGTTGTACGAAGCGGAATTCACTCAGTGAACAGAAGGAAATTTCTTGGGCTCTTGCTTGAAATAGCAAATAAGGTTGCTCCCAGATCACTTAGCTGATCGATTTGGCCATCCGGGTCTTGCATCTCCCTACATCAGTTAGCTGAGATACTCGGTGTTGTCTAACTTTTGTGAACATTTGTGGCACAAAAGCATGATATCAGAACATGATGATGTACAAGGCCGGCCCAACGGTACGTGCGACAACAGGACCAAAGAATGAGCGCTATTTGTAGGAGCTGAACAAGATCCTGGGGACGTCTCTCATGCATTCATGTTATGGAACGTGTGTAAAGAATGGGATCAAGAGAATGTTGAGTAGTTTGCAACTTTGCCCCTTTTCACCAGCAGAGGAACGCTATTATTCTACCGCAAACTGGCTCACAACAAGAAGATGGGCTATGGTAAGAGGAGCGATAGTCCTGATTGGCCAGTACACGGCGCTGTTATATCACGATCGTTTGCTGCGCCATGGTCGAATGATTACATAGTTTTGGTCAGTATGGCGGACGGGACACTTACCTTTGTGGCACAATGTCATCTTCTTAGTATCTTGCCGAGTTTTGCAAAAGGCTTCAGAGAATGGTGTTGGCGAGGCCATATATTCCCACCTGTCGACGTTTCAGACGAGAATGTGTTCACATGTAGCACTGATATTGACGTATTACACGACCTTCGCGAGATGAAGCCTTTCTGTCAACTGGTTCGTTTAGACGACAGTCTTCCCTGACAAGTCTACTCGCTGGAATGCATGCAGACACCTCATGGTGAGTAAACAGGCAAAGAGACTCAACCGAAGCTATTGATGAATGGATAAATCCTATGTTAGGTTTAAACCCCTTTCACGTCCTATATTTGCCGTCTGTTTACTCTACAACATTTCCTATATTTTGACAACAGGGGACCGGAGTGTCTACCGCAGTTGTAGGTTCGTAATCTTCTTTTTGCGGAATAGCAATATGGGCTGCTACAAATTGTATCGGTGCCAGAAATCGTTTTAATGTATTTTCTGTTTACGAACGGCAAAGAACGTGACTCTGCACTATGATGTAATTGCGACGCGTTTGCTTAAACCACAAGGAGCAATGTGTATCCGTACACTGAACAACATGCTGCTGCCGATGTTCTGGCAGATAGACTAGTGGCACCTGGCTTTCTAATTATTGGTTTTCGTTCAACCCAATGCACTGACATCTGCTTACGGAGTATGGCAAGGGGAATCAGGGGTGACTTCTGGCAGGAAAGTGGGAAAAGAGTCAAGGAGCTTGCTGATGTCAGGATTTCTGTCACCTCTAAAAGCGGGAGGGAGGGCAAGTGACGGTACATAGGTTTCGCCCAAGGTTCAGCAGAAATGAGATGTACCTCGACCAAAGACTCCCTTCTCCCCCTCCTTCGGAACCGCCGATAGGGAACCCACCCACAGCGGCCTCAGCGGTTGCCCGCTGCATTCAGCAGAGGCAGGCATTCCCGTGGTGGACGCAAACACTGGGCAGGCACTTGCCAGCGTGAGATAGGTACGCCCAGTAAAAGACAGTGCAGAAGGAGGCGACCAGACAGCCCGAGGAAAGCACCTTTGGAGCAAACCACCCGTGCCACACCCCCCAAATCTGGGCCAGAAGACCACTCGCTGCCTGCCTGCCCTTCCCGCATCGCAATCGACGACGACGACACCCGACCGTGACTCTGCGACCGAGGGAGACCAAGCGGGAGGAAAAAAAATTCATCAATCGTCACCATCAATCGCCATCGCGAAGAATCAACCAGAGAACAATGAATGGCTATTCAATCGTCGCCAATGGCCTCCGTTACGCGCTCCACCCGGAGGACCAATACTGAAGGCCTCGTCCAGCAGCAGCTTCACCCCCATCCCCTTCACCATCCCGTCCAGGCCTTCGCCGCTGCCAACACGAACACTGTGACGCGCGCCGCTGCCACCCCCCAAAACATCTCCAGCTACCAGCACACGCTGTCCGGTCGCACCAAGCGACAGCTCGACCAGACCGATCATATCGTCGATTTTGAACACCAGAAACCCAAGCGACCACGAACGAGCATCGAAATCCTCATTCGCCCTGCTTTGTTATCGAGCAAGCCTGCTGTCGCCAACGCGACGCCCACGGCAAACGTCACCCCGACTCCGCATCCGACCACGACCACGACCGCGGCCACGAAGCCTCAGGTGGTCGCACCCCTAGCAAAACCCACGCCGAAACCCGCACCGCAACACGTCGCGACGGTGCATCCTCCGAATCCAGCCGCTGCTGCTGCGAACAAAAATGCTGCCCAGTTGACCAAGCATCAGGAAAAGGTCATTAATGGGATTAAACACGAGCTGGATCGCCTGCAGCCCCGCGAGGTCGATACCCACACAAAGGAGGGGGGCCGCAAACTGCGCTCTCAAGAAGCCACTCGCTTCAAGAGCGAGCTGTCTGCGTATTTCCCCGAGTATGACGAGGTTATCGGCAATGAACCTAAAGAACAGCGTACGCCCCCAGTTCCCTAGAAGCTGTCTTCTGCTCTCAGAGACCGAGCAAACACATCCTTGTACACTTACTGACGATTTCCCCTTCAGAGCTTTTCACCTTCGATACCCCGATAGTCATTTTTGACTCGTACCCCACACGCCCTCATCCAGTCCTGTGGCACCGAAATCTAGGCGCGACGCCAGACCCCAGTGCAGGACTTGATGGCTTAGCAAACTCGACTGCTGGGCACAATGTTCCTGTGCGTGGATACGGCGATGCTCTATTTGACGAGCTTGTCGATGCCCAGCGGATAGACTTTGATTTCTTGGGCATCTCGCAAAAGCGAGAACCTGTAGAAGATCCTCTTCCTGATGCATCCTTTATATCTTCCCACAAGAGAGCGGAAAGGCTGGAAAAGTCCATTCGCAATACCGAACGGGGACGAGCTCAGCATGAGAAAGACCAGATTGCGCGCCTCCTAGACGGTCTCCAGGGTCACGACTGGCTCCGAGTCATGGGTGTTAGTGGTATAACAGAGACGCGAAAAAAGCAATTCGAGCCAGCACGGCAGCACTTTGTCAAGGGCTGCCAAGCCATCCTCGACAAGTTCCGCCAGTGGAGCTTAGAAGAGAAGCGCCGCAAGGCGGAGAAGGACCGCGCTCTCGCCGAGAAAGCTGAAGCAGAAGAGTCATCAAGCGGGGACGAGGATTCATCCGCAGACTCCGAAAGCAGTGAGGACGATGTCGAAGGGGATGACGAGACTGGCGATATCAGCGACGGTGACCCCCCAGGTTCTGATGATGATAATGATTCTGTGACCAAACAGATTCGTGAAGAGGCCACAGAAAGGTCAAGAGGATCGAAGAATAGCAAGAAACGTCCACGTGCGACACCACAGCCACGGCCCCCTCCAAAGCCTGAACCCCCAAGGGAATTCAAATCCTTCTTCAAGAAGAGATACGAGCGTGAGAGCGCTTTGCACCGGCACAGGCGTGCGGGCCGTAAGGTGGTGGCATGGGGACATCCGTTACCAGAGATACCCGAGATCGACTTCGATCTCCCTGAAGAGTTGCGTGATGAGGAGACACTGAGGGTACATGCGAGGAAAAGACGTCGTGATCGCCGTGGCCGAACCTGACGAGAGGTAGTCGGCTGCAGGGTTGGGCTGTGACTGTGCGATACCTGGTGTGCCGTGGCTGCTTCTTGTCTTGCATCGGGGTAGCGCGATGTCTAGTTGTAACATTATCATATGTAGACTGTTGGGTTAGCATGGCTCGAGAATAAGCGTTCGAATTGTCCCATATTGTCGATGCCGAAATGAACAATATCACCCTCCCTTTGTCATTGTGAGATGCCTCCATCAGCTACTTAAGGTAGTTAGCCTCAGGAAGTAGGCGCTTATGAGTCGCGCAATAAGTTGTGGGTTCCTTCCAGAAAGAGGGAAGAAATGGCGATGATATGGCGGCTCTGTTTTCAAGGACCTGGTCGGATTCGGGAAGGAGCTTGGTGGCTCAAGCAACAGGTGGAGCGGCACCTCGGGGAGTGGTCTGCTTACATAACCGAGCTCGAGGTAGACGGGAGTCGTGACCCGCCCAACGGGCAGGCACCTCAGGCGCAGGAGCCAAGGTGGCTCCGGCAGCTCCATCTCAGTCGCGGCGAACCGTGGGACGCGCTGACCTTGGAAGGCCTGAACTGCACCAGCTGCTGCCGACCTCAGATTTTGTGTTTGGTCGCAGCAGAACCTCTCTCAACCTCTTACCTCTCAGCTGGTCGTACCGTCGTACCGTTGGAGAACGGCATTGTTAATATTCTCAGCTGCCGCCGGCCCTTCGCCTATTCCATTTAATTTCCTCCGACGACCTCTAACGACCGATTTCCTACCTTTGCGACGCCGACCGCAGCGACAGGATGATCGTGGCCCTCGTTCAATCCTGCACCTGAGAATCTCGCGCCGGCGCACCTTCTTTGGATCGTATCCGCCGGACCTCAAATTCATCAAACAAACGACTGGGCGTTCAACCGAGCGACTCGAGCTTTTTGCTTGATGCCAAACTGCGACGTCATACTCTCGAGCGTAAACTGAGCCCACCATGAGCGCCATCGAGGCCACTGCGGCCGCCCCCGCCGTTGACGAGGTCATCGGCAGCGATTCCGAAGACGATCTCCCTCCTATGAAAGACGAGCCACCCTATCCGTATTTCGTCCTGAAACAAGATGTCGAGCTCGAGATCAACTTTCGGGCGAAGCGAATCGAAGGAAAATCCCACATCACGTTTGGCATGGTCGGAAATGCCCAGCTTGACGAGTTCGCCATCGATGCGCGACAGTCCGAGATCGACGTTAAGAATATTACGGTCACCGCCCTCAAGGAC